CATACTCTATTTTGCATAAATTATATGAATTAATATGGATGCCAATCTTCCCCAGTTTCCAGCACTGATAAAGACTTTCCCTGAGTTATGTATTCCTTCGGTAATTGCAACAGATACCCTGGAGAGGGATGTAGATAAATCTTGCTGCAAAAGTCATCCACTAACCCATAAGTCCTTTTCTCATTCCCTGAAGCCACGTGAAGCTAACATCTAATTAAATAAAGATCAGGCCTCACCTGGTAGCATGCTCCTTGTATTTTATTATATAATCCAGGGGCCCTCTTATTAAATCTAAATTTCACACATAACTAAGCATATCATAGAGATTTAATCATGGCCTAGGGCCTGTTTTTCTTCCAGACCTTAGACATTTCAGGTTTTGAGAAAAGAGATAGATTTCCCTGTATAGCCTTAGAAGGGCTTTTGTTTATATATGTCAGAAGGGTCTGGGGCTGGCCCCTGCCTTAGAAATAGTTTCTTCCTTTCCTAAGTACCATGCACCTAATGCTTCCAGGACCCATTGGCTCCTACACAGAATCATCCACTATGTGGTCCTCCCCACCGGCCTCAAGACCTGTAAGTCTTCTGCGCACACTCCCTATACTCTCGTCAAGCTAAATATGCAAGTCCTAGAACTTGAGTTGTTCCTTCAACAGTGTGTGCCTTTGCACATACTGTTCCTCAATCTGGAATGCCACTGCCCTTCCTTGCCCCAGTAAATACCACATGAGCCTTCGCATTTCATCTAAGACATCAACTCCTCTGAAATACACATCCCTTTCCCCAGACTCCCTAGCTCTAAGCACAGGGCTTCATTTTATCCCTGTGGCACTTTCTGTGGTTCATCGTAGAGGTGGATTTGGGTTCTGTCTCCTGAATTGAGCTGAGAAATGGTGAAGATGGTGATTTCTTCAGCATTGCATCCTCCTAGTTGAGTTGACTCAATGCCTGGCATATTGTAGGGACCATTACTAGTTTCTGAATGAGCAAAAGGATAGGTAAAGGAAGAAAGGAAGGATAAATAGTTGAACTCGTGAATGAATGAATGAATGATGAATAGAAGGATGGATGGATGCGTGGATGGATGAACCAAAAGACAAATTGGTGGGTGGGTGGGAGGAAGAAAGGAAGGATATATAGATGGAGGGCAAATGATTACATGATGGATAGATTGATGAATGGATGGTTGGATAATGGAAAGATAAATGGATAGAAGGAAAGACGAATAGATGAATGGGCAGATGAATGAATGGTGAATGGAAGGATAGATTGATGAATATGGATGAATATATGGATAGATAGAAAAAAATAACTGGGTAGAGTGCTCAGATAAGGGGTTATATACCAAGAGTTATGTGAGTTATAGGCATAACTTACACTCAGTAAAGTATGCTAATATTAAAGGTACACCCCTGCTGGGTTTTAACAAGGCTCCTGTGTATCTGCCACCTGGATCAAGATGCAGGGCATTTCCAACACATCCTACAATATCCCCGCACCCCTCCCAATCAATAACCCACCCCTTGACCAGGTGCAATTGCTCACACCCATCATCCCAGCACTTTGGGAGGCCAAGGCAGAAGGATCACTTGAGCTCAGGAGTTTGAGACTAGCCTAGGCAACATAGTGAAACCTCATCTCTACTAAAAAGTCAGAACAATTAGCAGGGAATGGTGGCACATGCCTGTGGTCCCAGCTACTTGGGAAACTGAGGCAGGAGGATTACTTGAGCCCAAGAGATTGAGGTGACAGTAAGCTATGACTGTGCCACTGCACTCCAACATAGGCAACAGAGTGAGACTCTGTCTCAAAAAAATAGTAAAAAATAATTCACCCTATGGGACACCATTATACTGACATCTTCCACCACCAGTAGCCTTCTTCCTCCTGAACTTCATGAGGTGGAATCATATAATATGTTCTCCTTGTGCCATAAGCCCCTTCTTGAGAGTTGACCAATTTATTTTTTATTTCTCATTCCATCTGAAAACTCAGCTTGGGTGACCACGTCCATTGACACTGATCTCTATCCCTCTTCCTCTGTGTAAAATACATTTCCCTCAAGATCTCATCACCTATGGCAAGACAATGGCTTCAATATAATTCATTTCAATTCACAAACCAACCCTGTAAGTAGGGTGTTTGAATTCCTCCAATTTGTTCCAAATTCTGCCAGCTATAAAAAAGCAGCCTCAGGCACTTTGAATCCAGAGCCGGCCTTTAACTCTGTCCTATCTCCCAGCGGAGGCCTCATGACATAGTAGACATGTTTGTTGATTGACTCAATGAAAGCAGCTGCCTTGCTGGGTTTTGGAGTTGCAACTTTAGAAGTGCCTAGGATTACTTCGCAGGGAGCAGCTCAAGGCCAGGCCAGCTTCACTTGTGAGGTGAGAGGAGCTTCATGTCCCCTGATGGTCTAGTCTTCATTTGATTCATGCCCTAGCAGGCCACTATGGGAGGCTGAGACCCAGAGGTTTGGCTCAGTGATCAACGCCCCCAGGAGCTATCAAAGGCTGGAAGCACAAGGCTGCTCATTTGGGCTGCAGAAGAAACCCTTAAGGCAGTTGAGCAGCCAGTAGCATTGGCGCTAGCAAAAGAGATCAAAAAAGGATGTCAGAAAAGTGTAATTTTCTTAATCCCCCAGTTTTTTTGAAGAGGAAAAGAGAGAGAGAGAAAGGGTGAAATGGGCCTAATTTTAAATGAAGAGTGGCATGCATTTAATGATGACTCATTTTTTAAATGGGTGTTTGACAAGAACAAGAAAGAACTAAAATCAGGACAATTAGGAAGTAATGAAGAGCTTAAAAACACAGAGAAAAGCAGGTAAGGAAATCACCCTGGAAGGCTGTGATTGGAAACGACTCGGTGTGGCGTGGGGCCAGGAGGGGGTAGACGTCCCGTAGGGTATCTGTAGTATCTATGAGAATGATTCCAAAGAGTGGGTGTACATGAGAGGACCTCTGAAAATTCAGCTGCACCACAGTCCTCACCTCTGCCCACTTTTTTTTTTTTTTTTTTTTTGAGACGGAGTTTCACTCCTTTTGCCCAGGCTGGAGTGCGGTGGCACAATCTCAGCTCACCACAACCTCTGCCTCCCGGGTTCAAGCAATTCTCCTGCCTCAGCCTCCCAAGTAGCTGGGATTACGGGCATGCACCACCATGCCTGGCTAATTTTGTATTTTCAGTAGAGATGGGGTTTCTCCATGTTGGTCAGGCTGGTCTTGAACTCCCGACCTCAGGTGATCCACCTGCCTCAGCCTCCCAAAGTGCTGGGATTACAGGGGTGAGCCACCACGCCCGGCCTCACCTCTGCCCACTTCTTGCGATGTCCAGCATCACCACACTCACCCAGTCCACTGTCTTCTCTCGCCTGAAACCCTTACTTCCTCTTTCACCCTGTGTCCCAATGCATTTGCCTTAAGTAGGCAGAGGAATCTGTCTAGACACAAGGTGATTGTCACTCCTTGTTCCAGATCTTTCTCTAGCTTTCCAGGGCATATCAGATAAAATCTAAATGCCTGATCTTGATCTCCAAGTCCTAGGCTAAGATATGCACTAATGTCCAGCTCTATCTCAAGCCTGGTGTTCCCGCACTCTGTACATGCCAGGATTTTGGCATCTTCACACATACCAAGCTTGTTCCAACCTCAGGGCCTTTGCATATGCTGTTTCCTCTGCTTGGAACACCTCCTCTTCATTGCAGAGGCAGGGGTACTTCTTCTCAATCTTCAAGCTTTCTGGGTTTTTGTTGTTGGTTTTTTCCTGAGACAAGGTCTCACTCTGTCACCCAGGCTGGAGTGCAGTGGCGTGATCACGGCTCACTGCAGCCTTGACCTCCTGGGCTCAAGTGATCCTCCCACCTTAGCCTCCTGAGTAGCTGGGATTCTGGGTGCACACCACCATGCCCAGCTTTTTTTTTTTTTTTTCTTGAGACAGAGTCTCACTCTGTCACCAGGCACCAGGCTGGAGTGCAGTGGCACAACCTCGGCTCACTGCAGCCTCCACCTCCTGGGTTCAAGCAATTCTCCTGACTCAGCCTCCCAAGTAGCTGGGACTACAGGCACACACCACTACACCCAGCTAATTTTTGTATTTTTAGTAGAGACGGTGTTTCACCATGTTGGCCAGGATGATCTCGATCTCTTGACCTCATAAGCCACCCGCCTCGGCCTCCCAAGCTATTTTTTTTTTTTTTTAAGTAGAGACAGGGGTCTTGCTATCTTGCCAGGCTGGTCTCGAACTCCTGAGCTCAAGTGATCCTCCCACCTCAGTCCCCCAAAGTGTTGGGATTACAGGCCTGAGCCACTGCACCTGGCCATCATGTGGCATTTCTTTACAGCCTTTATCATGGCTAATGGTTATAGCTTTTCTTCATTTGCCTGCTTTTATGCTGCCTAGTTCCTCCTCTGGAATATGAAGGCAGGGATCATGGATGTTTGTTTGCCAAAATGTTACCCAGCTCCTAACACGTGAGTTACTCGTAGTAGAATAAATGAGAAAGCAGCCATGTGAGCAGTGGTTCTGGTTACCAGGATCTTTATCTGTCTGCCTCTCAGGTCTGCTTACTTCTGTGTAGTCTTCATTCTCAGGCAGGCTCTTCTCAGGGCAGATTTTTGTTCTATCCTTTTACCAACACCAGCAGAAAGAAAGGCTCTTCTTCAGACTTTCTTTCGCCAACGTCAAGTCACCATTTATTTGTTTGACAAGTCTTTACTGAGCACTTACTATGTTTCAGGCACCATTGTAAGGACAGAGGCATCATGAGTAAACAAAATGGGCTGAGTTCTTGCCATCTTAAATCTTACATTCTAGTGGGCAGACAACAGTCAGACCCTAATAAGTGCTCTGAAGCAATTATAATTGGAATGGAATTGAAGAGTATTGGAAGGGGTGGGGTAGAACTCAGTGTGTGTTCCCTCTGATTGCCCTGCCTGGAGGCACTTGTTTCTCCTCAACCAATCCCATGGCCATGAGAGTAAAAGCTGAATTGTTCCCCCAAGGAAAATGGGGTGCTGAATCAGAAAAGGGGGATAGAGTTAGTCAGGAAAACCCAGGAGCTGTCTCCAGCGGACTGTGGAGGGAACAGGCTCAGAGACTCAGGACACAAGATTTTACTCCTAGAGCAAGTATCCACGGTGTGTAGGACTCAGTGCCAGGCATGATGGAAGAGGCTCTGGGCACTAGAGAGGGGAGTGGTCATTTCTGGCCTCCTGGCTTAGGGCAATGGTTCTCACTGCTGGGGTGGGACACTGGTGTGTCAGGATCAATCAGGAGATGCCAGAGCACACAAGTCTAGGCCGGGCGCGGTAGCTCATGCCTGTAGTCCCAGCACTTTGGGAGGCTGAGGCAGTTGGATCACGAGTTCAGGAGTTCAAGACGAGCCTGGCCAAGATGGTGAAACCCTGTTTCTACTAAAAATACAAAAAATTAGCTGTGCACAGTGGCGGGTGCCTGCAATCCCAGCTACTTGGGAGGCTGAAGCAGAGAATTACTTGAACCCGGAAGGTGGAGATTGCATTGAGCTGAGATTGCAGCACTGCATTCTGGCCTGGATGACAGAGCGAGACTCTGGACTCTGTCTCAAACAAAAAAAAAAAAAAAAAAGGTGCCAGAGCACACAAGTCTTGATACTTGCTTGATACACAAATACTTGATTCTAGAGAAATCAGAGCAGATTCTAGGAGGTCCTTGAAAGGAATGTCACTCTCAGTCACTGACAGACTTTTCTGAGCAGGAATAAAGGATATAACTCACCGTAGGTAGATGCAGGGGGGTCTGCACCCACCTTCTGTCCCATTTCAGCCACGACGTGCCTGCCGCCATGCAGCTATCACAGGTGGGAGTTGGCAGCCCTGGTGGCTACATGCTACTGAACTGCTTTACTTCTCTGCAAAATGCTGTTCTGACCTTGAAATCTAGGGACACCCTTGAGAATGCTTAGCTTCGTTCTGTCTTTGCAGGTCTCCGAAGAATAAAAGTTGAGAATGGCAATTTAATAGCACTGAGGCAATATTTACTCCAGAAAGGGCAACTTCCAAAGCTAGTTGTGTTTGGGGAGGAGGCTAAACTTTGGGCTGGGCTTGTTTTCAGCAAGACTGAGGGGTTTCCTGATTCCCCCTTCTTACTGGTAGGCCATTTGAGGCTGAGATTGGAGAGCAAGGAATCAGAAGTTGTTGCCTTTTCCTCAAGATGACCATCACAAGAGTGACGTCTGTTTGTTGTTGTTGTTGTTGTTTGGGGTTTTTTTTAGAGACAAGGCCTCTCTCTCACACCCAGTCCAGAGTACAATGGCACGATCATAGCTCACTGCAGCCTTGAACTTCTAAGCTCAAGCTACCCTTCCGCATATGCCTCCTGAGTAGATGGGATTTCAGGCATGCACCACCATGCCTAGCTGATTTTTATTTTTTAATGTTGTAGACATGGGGCCTTGCTTTGTTGCCCAGGCTTATCTCCAACTCCTGGACTCAGGAGATCCTCCTGCCCTATCCTCCCGAAGAACTGGGATTACTGACGTAAGCCACTGCACCCAGCCTGGTTTTTACCTCAAATGCCAACTCAAAGGGTTTGGTAATGATGGCCTAAACCACAGTGTTGAGAGCAGATCCAGGCTCAGCAGGAGAGTGTGCTGTGATCTACTAGTAATGTCTGCCAGGGACATGAGAAGGGCAGGTTGTACACACATGCCAGATACTTGCCGCACCTAATCAAATGGTTAACACTGTGAAAAATGCCCAGCTAGAAATAGATGGAAAGCGGTAACAGAGTGACAGTCCTGAGGCCACATGTCACGATGAAAATAGTCTGAGGTCAGTCCATTCCTGGCTCTACCACTTGTGTGACTGGGCAGTCTTGGGCAAGTCAAATACCTCTCAGCTTCAGTTTTCTCATTATATTAAAAAACTCATGTGGGGTTTTTTTAAGGATTAAATTAGATCATACTTGTAATAGGAACTCAGTAAGCCTTGCTTCCCTCCTTCCCACCCTCTCCTAAATCCACCCAATCTGAGGAGGTGAGAAGTCAGGAAGGAAAGGGAGAAGACCCTGGAGTAACTGGAATAAGGGAAGCGCAGAGGGGCTGACCTGGAAATGAATGGAAATTGGAACAATTAGAAAGCAACAGGGGCCGGGCACAGTGGCTCATGCCTGTAATCTCAGCACTTTGGGAGGCCAAGGCAAGCAGATCATCTGAGGTCAAGAGTTGGAGACCAGCCTGGCCAACATGGTAAAACCCTGTCTCTACTAAAAGTACAAAAATTAGCTGGAACTGGTGGCAGGTGCCTGTAGACCCAGTTACTTGGGAGGCTAAGGCAGGAGAATTGCTTGAACCTGGGAGGCAGAAGTTGCAGTGAGCAGAGATCACACCAGTGCACCCCAGCCTGGGCACAGAGTGAAAAGAAAACAATGGGGAGTTTAAAAAGCCAACCCCAAAGCTTCTAGAACTGGAGACACAACCTTGTCTGGCTGGCACAGAGACCCCTGGGGAGACTCTTGGTGTGGTAGTTAAGAGGGTGTGTATTAGAGTCAGACTACAAATGGTTTGAGCCCAGCTCCACCACCTACTGGCTGTATGATGTCACCTTTTCATGCCTCAGTTTCCTCATTGTAAAATTGCAGTGGAAAGAGTATCTTCCCCATAGCATTGATGCATTAAATAAATGAGATCTATGGAGAGGCCCAGCATAGCTCCTAGCACATAGTAGGTGCTATTATAAGGTAATGACGATGATGTTGATGACCTAGTGAGCAGCTGCTTCCTCTGTGGCCTGGAAGTGCACCATAAGGCCCCTATCTGTCTGTCCCATTATCACCACAAGATAATGAGGGACATTGAAGACATCACCCTAGAGAAGAACTCCCCCGGCTCCTTCCAGGAAATGTGCCTCTCTCATGGCCAGGGGTTGGAGGGTATCCGAGCCTGTGCCACGCGGAGGCTTCTCAGTCTCATCCGGGCAGATGGCATCCCCGGGGTCCGTCATTCATTATCACAACAGCGGAACCTTGCCACTTTCTACTCTAATGCCCCTGTAATCAGCCAAGAAACCTTGCAATTTGATATTTGGAAACAATTAGCCCAGTTCACGGCCTCTGCAGCATCTCTTAATGCGGACGTGGCCATAAATTACAGGGAAGCAGGAACTGACACAAGAGGATGAGGTCACAGCAGCCACAAACCTTTGGCTCAGAGGAGGTTCCCTGGGAAGGGGAATGATCACGGTAGGGTGGTGGTGGTGGGGGGTCCCTGTTCCCTTCAGTCACACAGGTGGGGCCACTCTCTCCCAGAGTCACCAGAGACCCATAGCCAGAAGTCTGTGGCCAGGGCCTCCGAGCTCAGGAACAAAAGTATGTGGCCCCAAGAAACCTGGCGTGTCCAAAGCTCAGGCTGGCCAACTCAGCCATCCTGATGCCTCCAGGCACACCTGCCCCCATGCTCTCCTCCAACAAAGAGGAAGATGCTGCAAAACTCCAATCTCTGAGTCTCTCCAGAACAGTCTTAGCTCTGCATGAGCTTTGGTCCAAAACAACACTGGCACCTCCAACAGCCCTGCCGCAGGCAGAGAGTGCTCCCTGGAGAACATAAAGGACTTCTTGGGGCTCATTTCTCAGAAGCCTCAGCCTTTACCGGTCCAGAAGCAGATGCCAAGAGGCCAGGCTGACTTTGCTTTGGGCCCCCTGCTCGGCCATGTGCTGGCCGTGTGACCATATGCAAGACTCTTAACACCTTCAAGCTTCAGTGTCACCTCTGTAAAATGGGATTTAAAAAACAAAAGTAGAAAAATGGACTGGGTGCAGTGGCTCACTCCTGTAATCCCAGCACTTTGGAAGGTCGAGGCAGGAGGATCACCCGAGGTTAGGAGTTCAAGACCAGCCTAGCCGACATGATGAAACCCCATCTCTACTAAAAACACAAAAATTAGCTGGGCACAGTGGTGGGCACCTGTAATCCCAGCTACTTGGGAGGCTGAAGCAGGAGAATCACGTGAGCCTGGGAGGCAGAGCTTGCAGTGAGCCGAGATTGTGCCACTGCACTCCAGCCTGGGCAGCAGAGTGAGACTCTGCCTCAGAAAAACAACAACAACAAAAAACAAATAGACAAATGGCCTTAACTCAGTGCCTAGTACAGAGACAGCACGTGGTCAGTGGGGTTTGCTGCTGGCAGTTGCTAGAGCAATAGTTTTGTTTTTTTGTTTGTTTTTTTTGAGACGGAGTCTTGCTGTGTCGCCAGGCTAGAGTGCAGTGGCACGATCTTGGCTCACTGCAACCTCCGTCTCCTGAGTTCAAGCAATTCTTCCGCCTCAGCCTCCTGAGTAGCTGGGACCACAGGCGCGTGCTACCACACTCGGCTAATTTTTGTATTTTTAGTAGAGACAGGGTTTCACCATGTTGGCCGGGATGATCTCGATCTCTTGACCTCGTGATCCGCCCGCCTCAGCCTCCCAAAGTGCTGGGATTACAGGCATTAGAGCAATAGTTAACAGAAAAATCGGAAAAATCATAGAGGGTTTCAGAGCTTACAGAATACCATCTACTCTCTCAAAGGTGGAAAAAAGGAAGCAGATCTCTCACTTCATTTCCAAGTTCGCCCACATGGCTCTTGGCAAGCCCCAGGTTCATGCTCGCTGGCTGCAGGCCTGAGAAATCAGCTCCGTACCATGTGGCCTCTCCCTAGGGTACCTCCAAACCTGGCCTCTTGCTTTTCCAGGGCTCTTAGGAGAGCAATGGCAAGAGGAAGGGATGGCAGCCACTGCCTTTTGTCACCCGATCTCAGAAGTGCCAGCCCCTCGCTTTTGCTGTATCTCTTCATTAGAAGCAAGTCACAAGGTCCCACCCACACCCGAAGGGAAAGGAGTCACAAGGGGTCTGGCTGTGAATACCTGGAGGCAAGAATGAGCTGGGGCATCTGGAAGGCTGCCTACCCCTGAGGGACAGTTAATGTCCATACCAAGTGCCAGGCCCTGGGTAAATGCTTTTCAAAATCACTGGAAGGGCTGGGCGCAGTGGCTCACACCTGTAATCCCAGCACTTTGGGAGGTCAAGTCAGGCAGATCATGTGAGGTCTAGAGTTTGAGACCAGCCTGGCCAATATGGTGAAACCCCGTCTCTACCCAAAATACAAAAATTATCTGGGCACATTGGCGGGAGCCTGCAGTCCCAGCTACTCGGGAGGTTGAGGCAAGAGGATCACTTGAACCCAGAAGGTGGAGGTTACAGTCAGCTGAGATCACGCCACTGCACTCCAGCCTGGGTGAGGGCAACAGAGCGAGACTCGTCTCAAAAAAATAAAAGTTGGAAGAAAGGTTTTCAAATATTCCCATTGCCTCATGTTGTTTAATCCTCTCTATAACCCCATGGAGTGAATAGTACCTGCCTCTGGAATGGGAAGAGCAGAACCCTTGATTATCCAATGAGAAAATGGTGAATTCTGTCCTTAAAAATATGGGGCAGGGGGAAGCTGGCCAAAAACCAAAATGGGTACTGAGAGACAAAAAGAAAAGGAAAAGTCTGTCAAATACCATGACTATCCCTATTCTGTATGTGAGAAAGTTAGGTAATTGCCTAGAAATTGGGAGGAGCTGCTGGAATTCAAACCTTATTTCAGCGTTAGCATCTCACTCCACAAAGTCAGGCTGTGGTCCTTGGGACAACTGCCACGGACTGTGTAGGCCACGCTGAACTTGGGAAGTTGAATCTGTGATTAATGGGGTCAGGAAGCCAGCATCCTGCCTCAACAGGGGAACCTTGCAAATGAACCGTAATTCAGTAATGTGATTTCCCTGCCTGGGGCAGACTGAGCGTTCTGGGCTAGGAGAGCAAACTCCTTGGCCTGTCTGTCTTGGTCTCATTGGAGACTTGAAGGCCCCTTAATAATTGCAGCCAGAACTTTCCATTTGAGTTAAAATCAGAATAGAGCTAATCCTACTGGGAGCCTTGAACCCCCCAAAGGTAGCAAAGCTAAGTAGCGTAACCTAGGAGGCAATAGAAGAGCCCCTCCCCATCCTGACCCCAATAAGCTCAGACCAGGGCAGTCTTCCAAATGTGGGTAGAGATTGTACCCAGAAGGGTTGGGGACTTATACCCCAGCCAGGCCTGGGTCTCCATCCTACCCCTGTGGCTATCCAATTGTAGGACACTGATCAAGCCACAAAACCCTCCCAAGCCCCAGTCTCCTGACTTGTAAAGTGAAAGCGATGATTATCCAGACTCACAGGACCACTGTGAGGATGAGGAAATGTCGAGTTTGCAAAGCACTCAACATGTAGTAGGTGCTTTGTAAATAGTCACTCTTCTCCGTGTATGGACATGCCAGGCGGAGACCTCCATCCCCCGCCTTCTTGCTCATGTTCCTCATGCTGGGCTTAGACTTGGCCCACAGTCACGTTTAGTTAATCAGGAGATAATCAAGGAAGAATGCAACTTCTGAACTGAGTGAAGGCTTGGAGGATGCAAATTCAAGAATTTGAGCCATTCTTAGATGTTGAGTCCATGTGAAGTGGGTCATGGTCCTATTTTTAAAGAAAGCTTTGACCAATGAGTCAACGATGTTTACTTCCTCTTTACCTGACAATAAGCATCTATTTTAACCACAGCAAAAAGCCACGTGTCCCCAACACCTGAGAGGTAGCCTAGTGCGGGACTGGTTATGAGCAGCTCTTGTCTGTCACTGGATAGTGTTCCCTAATCCCCTACAAGGTCATAGATGAATCTGGGGTGCCTGCCATATGCCCTGCCCTGTACTATTCAGCCTGATCTGTGGTGAGTCTCAACTTCCTAGAAAACCCTGAAATAATATGCTCTGTGACCTTGGGGGAAAGACCTCACGTCTCTGAGCTTCAGAAAAATGGGGTTTATGTCAACATCTCTCAGAGCTACCACAGGACTTGGAGGATATGTGCATCACAGCACCTGATGCCTGATTTAAATCCTCCGTGAATGGTAGTTCTCATTGTTCTAGGATGAATCTGTAACTCATAAAGATTCTCTTGGGTCCCCAAAAGTGAAGCTGGTTGTATTTCTGTGGAAGTGGATCAAAGGGGAGAGGAGCCCTTGCTGGGGCCTCACAGGACAGGGAGGAGAACAGGTATTCTGAATTCGCAGGGTAGACTGAGGACAGGTGAGGGTGACCCGCCCCTTGCCACCCCACATGTCCTCCTGAATGCATCGCACCTCCTCTTTCAGCAATCTTGGTGTTTTCCCTTCTGCTTGGCATGGGGGGCAAAGAAACCCTCCATTGTAGCTCAATCCCCACCAGTTTCCTAAGGAGAGGCACAGAGACAAGAGCAGGCATGTGACAGAGAGACGGATGCTCCGACAGCTGTGGTCACCAATGATCTCAGTGCCATCAGAGCCCCTGGCACCTGAAAGGTGGAGGTTGTATGCAGGCACGTGCCTGTGTGCACACAAGCACAAGCATGTATCAATTGCGTGTGAGACACTCTATTCTCCAAAGTCCAGTCTTCCTAGACCAACAGTGAATCCAGCACACAGGGTTGCAGGAAGAACCTCCTTATCCACCGGGAGGGGCTGCCTGCTGCATTTGGGGGCTGCTGGCTGCAGATGGCCAGATATTAAATTCTGCTTGGTCTCCCATCTGGTGGCTGCTCTGGCCAGCCAGGAGAATTCCCCATGGGCTGTCTCTGGGCTCTGGACAAGACACTCTGCCATGCCCTGACCCTCCAGTGACCCTCAGACAGGACTGTGTTCAGCAATCCAGAAGATGCACTCCCTCCAGCAGAGTGGGCTCCCTGCCCCTGCCCAAGGCAGCCTCTCTGCCCTCATCTCCCGGTCAGCTCCCCCAGAGCAGGGGCTAAGAGCGCAGGATTTGACACCCAATCAACCAGCGATCACATCCTGGCTCCACTGAGCATTGTCTAACCTCTCTGACCCTTAGTTTCCTCTTCTGTGATTCTACATTGTGGGGCCACTGAGAGGATAAAACAGGAGATAGCGCACATTGTATTGGGTCTCCCCACCTCTGCACTGCTGACATAATGGTCCAGATAATTCCCTGTGGTGGGGACAACCCTGTGTCCTGTGGGGTATTGAGTAGCATCCCTGGTCTCCACCCATCAGATGCCATAAGAACCTCTTCCCCAGTTGTGACAACCAAAAATGTCTCCAGGCATTGCCAAAGTCATCCTGCTGAGACTTACTGGGGTACACGGTTTCTTGCTGTGCCTGTCATGTGGTC